CCCGCCCCGCCCCGCCCCGCCCCGGCCCCGCCTACGGCACCCCGGCGCGGGGCGTGAGCGCCCGCCCTTCGGCAGTTTCCGCGGCCAGACCGACGTCAATAAAAGGATTGATGACCGCTCGGGGCATCCATCACCTGCTGTGAACAATCACGGGCCGACATTAGTAAAACAAGGTGTGCAAGTTATGATTTTGCACATTATATGGTGTTTAACTCAAGTTGTACTCTTGTGAGGGGTGCAAATTTTAGACGTTTGGAAAACGTTTAAAATATGCACACTTGGACACACGCTGTTCTATGCTATGAATAGGAACCATGGTGTGCAGCTGCTATACGATTTGGAAGCTTCGAAAGTTTAAACACCAATAATTGACGTATAACCTAGTTAAAAACACCACCTAGAAACACCTGTCTAGAAGATGCACACTTGAACTTAAACATCAATTGACGTGCAAAATTGCTTGTTATTTTTCAAGTAAGTGTGTTCGCCCTGGGTCCGTATCGGCGTGTCTCCAGAGAAGATGGCAGCAAATGTAATACTCGAGGCGAGGTGCCCCCCCTCCCCCCTCTTTTCCAGACCTGCTGCGGCACGGAGCGTAGCGGCAGGGTGGCCTAGCCCGACCGCCGTACAGAACAGTGCGTTGGGCTGCCAGTCTCTACGGCGCTCGCAGCGGGGCGACTCCTGCTCCAGAAGAAGCACAGATCTGCAGAAGCGAATGGCGGTCGAAAAAGGAGTCGGGACTGATTGCCATTCCTCATGCGTGTTGTTGTTGTGTTGTTCCCGGCAGGTGGCTGTCGTCGGCCTGGTGTCCGCCGTGGCCGGGGTGGAGGTCTTGGAAGCGTCAGGCCGGAGCGTGGTCCAGACCAAGTACGACGGCGCCGCCAAGAAGCAAGAGCTGGACTACAAGGTGCGCGGCCGTCAGGAGGTGACTTACTTGAACTTGTGATCGATGACATTGAATCTTGAAATATCGCGCAGGAGCCTGAATTCTGAGTCAACGCTACAGGGCTGAAGAACACTGCGCCTGCTAAAATAATTCTTCTTCTACTACATTACACCCTTTTCTTCCTTCCGCGCGGATGCCAAAATGAACCGAAATGAGATGAGGCAGTTGACAGTCCATAGCAAGACGAACATGAAACAAACCGTTCCAGTGACCGACGCGGAAGTGACCACCGCGAGTGGGCTGTCGGAGGGAGGGGAAAGGAGGGGTGTTCAGCGCCTCTTCTCCGTTCATCATTTACATCCGAGTATCGGCGGCGACCGGCCCGGGGCACTGCAGCAGGGAGTGCCGGAGGCGTGGGCCCCGGCCGCCTCCATTGTATCAGGGGTTCGGCGGTGCGGCGCTTCCGAGAGAATGGAGGGGGAGGGGG